GGCATAGCAGGCGCAATGATCGGTGGTGTAATGGCAAACATCTGGGGCAGAAAATACGTATCTGTCGTTGGCGGTGCGATTTACACCGTAGGAGTTTTCATGGAGGTTTTCACCAGCAACTTCATCACATCTTTGATCGGGCGCGGTCTCACGGGTGCGGGAATAGGTGTAGGCCTCGTCATCGGACCGGTATACATCGCTGAAATCTCGCCATTGAAGCGACGTGGATCTTTAGGCTCTATCCCTCAGGTATGTACCAATATGATATTCTTTTTGTTTTTACCATATACAAACTCGAAAATACTCTCAATCATATATGTAGGGGCGTAGGGTTAATATGGACACACGATGTGTTGGTGGCGAAGATGGCCGAGTTGAAATAACTGGCCAAGATCCCTATCCATCTGGTAACAAATGACGAGGGAACCAACACCCCGGGCAGGAGAAGAGCCATCAACTGGTACCTCGAGATCGACAAGGAGACGGTCGAACGTGCCTTCCCCGTGTTGTTCCTAATCGTCGGGCTATTCATCGCCAGGGAGATGGCATACGAGGAGGTAATCTTAAAATACCTCCCGACCATCCTGGCGATGAATCATCACATGCAACGGGGCTCTCAGGTTGCATTCCTGATTCTGACGTTCATCAAGCTGCTTGCCTCGCTCTTTCCAGTGGTCAAAGCAGATAAATTAGGACGCAGACGTCTGCTGCTTGTGAGCATCAGATGCACGAGTTTCTTCTTGGCGGCTTTTGGTGCCACGTTTCTAGCCCACACACTTGGTCATCTCAGCAAGGTCGTCGCTCTCCCATTCTGCATCATCAATGTTATCTGTGCGGAGGTGTCTGCTGTGATCGGACTTGGAGTCATTCCCTGGGTTTACGGCACCGAAGCTATCCCACTTCTCCTTCGATCACCGTTTCTGGGCGTCTGTGTTGGGACAAAGCTAACAATGAGGCTCGTGCTTGCTTATCACCTCCCGCTACTAAATGAGCATCTCCAAGCAATCGGTTTCGGCTTCCTATTGCTCGGAGGATTGCTGATGATCAGCTTCATACCATCCTGGATGTTTGTACGAGATAGGCATACCCGTAAGTTATTGGTAGATGATGTAGTTGCTAGTAGAAAGTATCATCATATAATATATGAACATCCCTTCAGAGGCATCTGATAAAATAAGAATAGGTATGTATATTGCTTAGACCAATTTGTCAGAAATAAAAATGTTGATAGTAAGCAAAGTTGAGAATCATCCAAAATAGATATGTATATTAGTAAAGTTGGTAAATTATCCAAAATATTTAATAAAATGTCTATAATTATGAAATAACTAATAATTATAATAACAATATCCATTCATTAAAAGAACATTCTAATAACTATATTATAATATTTTTCATAAAATTATCCTTTTGATAAAGCTTTACGTTCTTTTTTTATTTTTGGTGGAAAAGCTTTACGTTCTTAAGGGAGAGAGCGGGAATAATTTATTTATTACGTTGTTAATTATAGCTAGTTTATCAATTTATTTATTTATTACGTTCTTAAGGGTCACCCGCACACTCACCCACAACCCACCCACCACCCGGCGGATGGCTCCCAGCAAAACCCGTCACCCACCCACAGACCCACCCACTTAACGAAATTCGAGTCAAATGCGGGTGGGTCGGCCAAAACCCGCGGATGATCCGCCCGCATGCCCAGCCCTACTTAATATATAGGTTATCATTTTTCAGCTTTTAGAAATGCCAAACGCGGCAGCCTACGAATCCTAATCCATAGATTGAGCTACACACAATAAATTGAACAAATTTATCTTCTTACCTTTTCTTCACTGTCTGTAGAAAGGAAAGGATTAATTAGTTCAACAATATCTAGGTGGATAATAGCAGTTGTATTTTATAAATTTTATATGGCTAATCTCTTCAAACTAGGGGTGAACAAAAGGACCCGAAACCCAACCCACCCGACCAACTGACCCGACCCACTCGAGTAATCCGACCAAAAGTAAATTGTATAGGTGGGTGAGGATTCTGGGATACAAAACCCAATAAATGTCGGGTTGGTTACAAATTGGGTGTTTAAAACCCGAGCACATCCGACCCAACCCAGGAAATGGCAAAACGACATCACCTAGGGATTATGTATAGATAAAAAGTTTCAAAATCTCTAGGGTTTTCCAACTCCTCCATCTTTATCATTCGCCGTCGATTCATTCCCCTCATCCTCGAGCCATCTTTATCGATCCTTCTTTGATTTAGTCCCTTCGATCCCTCAAGCTCTACTAGAATTCACCTGATTCGTCTTCTTTCTCCCCCAGGCCATCTCATGAACAAAGTGGTTGTCACCAACCACATATTCGCACCCTTCTTGGTGATGATTCTTGGATTTTTCTTCGCATCCATCTGTATAGATCTGTCCCTAATTAACTACCTCCCATCCCCCTATCCAGTCAAAGATCACTAAGGTGATACCACCCATGCAACTCATTGGATTCTTTATATGATTTTTGGGCTTTGTTTTTGCTTTAGGAAATCCAGAGGCATAGGCTCTGTTTTTTCTACTTTCATTTTTGGGTTCTTCTCTTTTTGCTTTTGGAGCTCAAGAGGCAGAAGGTTTGGTTCTTTGTGCTTTGGATTTCAAGCCTATGATATTTAATTACCACGTGGTTTATAATTTTAGGATTCTCGTGTGATGGAGGCTTGAGTCGCCATTAGCCTCCCTGTCGTTGGCCTCTTTTTCAAAGCTTCATCTCCTTTCAGGTCAAAATCTCGTTGTTAACTACATATCTCCCACCGCTCTGCCCAAATTGTCGCATATCTTTCTGGAAAATATGTTATTTCCAATGAGTTATTGGCGGACCCAAAAATTACATCAAAGGTATTCAATACTAAAAAAAAATCACTAAAGGATTGTCAAATTGATAAGCCCCAAGTAGCTGAAGCTTGTAGGACAGAGTTCGCAGCCAATGATGCCTTCGATTCCTTTGATCAAACTCGAAAGGAATACAGAACACAAGCCAAGTAAAAATGGAATTGGAAGGTGCAACTTCAACGCCAGCAAGGGGAAGAGGCTCGATCCAATGAAGATAGCAACTCGTCCATGATCGATGTGATGATCAATCGATGTTGAGCTCGCTTGTTTGGGTGGATCCAATTCCACTCAACCAAGGACAATTCGCGAGACCAACTCGATGAACACAAGGGTTTATTCGATTAAAACTTGAGTTCAATTACAACATAAACGAAAGCTTAAATAGACCATAGCTAGCCTTGTGAACAAGGAAAACCTAACACAATTCGAAATCCTAAGCTTAAACATAAAAGAAAATAGCAATCCGAAACACACAAGGAAAGAAACTCTCTTCTTCATATCCAAATCACCAACAGCCTTGATGCAATCTTTGAGGCTCTCGCTTAATGACTCCCAGGTGCACATCAATCATCCAATGCCTCTTCTCTGTAGATTAAAATGCACGGTTTCATGGGGTATGAAGCCCCTAACTCGAAGCTCAATCATCCATCTGGAATAGAGCGTCAAAGTAGCCTCTCTAGACTCGGTTTTACACTTAGGCAGATTCAGGCAGTTTTCCTGTGTCGAGATGCCCTTTTGTCGAGCCTGGAAATGGACCTTACAAGTTCCTCCTTGAGCCCCCAAACACTCCAACATATAGAAGAGCACTTGAACTTCAAAACAAACCTTCAAACTCACCATCCCAAACACTCCAATCAGAAGAACCAAGCTTCCATAGTACCCTTCCCGAACTCGTCAAAAGACTTAACCAAAATTCCACATTGTTTAAATGATTTAGGTTACCTTCTTGAACAAGAAATTCCAGTTTGGTAAGGAGGCAATGCATGGTTGTATCACAAATAGTCTTTTGTTCAAATACTGCCATCATTAAAATAAAATTTTACAAATAAATTGTGTCATAATATTGGGCCAAGCCGCCAAGGTTTGTCAATTGACAAACCTTTCATAAACGTAGGTCCGCCCCTGGTTATTGAGGTTCGGATTGTAGCGGGTTGATTATCTGAACAACTCGACCAAATGGACATCAAGTCGACAGAGTCTCAAATTTTGCGGGTGGGTGTAGGTTTAGATTTACTGAAACCGACATATATGGGTTGGGTGGTCAAAGTAGTCCAAAACCAACCTACTCGACCTGTATTCACCCCTACTTCAAACGCAATCGTGGCAGCCATGCCAGTTATACAAGCTACTTTCAAGTATTTCTCGTGGCTCCGAGTTTGTCTTATTAAGAAAATTTATATAATAATAATAGTGAACGGCTATTTGCCGCAAACTAAAAAAAAATTGAATTCAAAATTTGAATTTTCCCTTCATTTCATTCTATAAATTTAAATTTCAATAAGATTTGACTCATTCCAACAAAAACCTCTGTAGTCGAGCCCAGTGCCTCCATCGTCGGCACCGTTCCTCCGTCGTCGGCCAACTTCTCGTCGTCCTCAATCGTTGGAAAACAGGTAAGTTTAATTTTCCGACAACTTTTCCAGTTTCCTGACGAGAATAATGGTGGAACGAAAAAAAATTGCGGCAGGGACGCCGACGAGCCGAAAGATATTTTCGGTCGGCTCCATGCCTCGCCGGAAAAATCTTTCGGCTCGGCAGCGTCGCATTCGCAAATTTTTTACGGCCGGCCGATAATTTTCCGACGGCGTGTTCGCCGGCCGGCCGAAAACATTTTGCGGCTGAGACGCCGCCGGGACGAAAGCCAACGGCGTCCTAGCCGCAAAATGTTTTAGGCCCGACCGAATTTTCTGCAATTTTGTTTATTTTTATATGTTAATTAATTAGTCAATAGAAAATTAATGAGTTAATAGAAAAATAATTAATTAGTGATTGATTTAACAATTAGTACATTAGTTAATAGAAATTAGCAATTAGTGTTAATATTTATTTAAATTGGTGTATGAATATTTAATTACTTAGATTAGTTAATAGAATATTTAATTACTTGCAGGTGAACGAGACACATGTGACAGAGGTACAGTCGTACTTGTTGTTGCTGTTGGGGTCCACTTTGTTTGTGGACAAGAGCAGAGACAGGGTTCGGTCGGTGGTGAACCTATTTTTGGACGAGTTGGAGGAGGTAGATCAGTACAGTTGGGCATCAGCTACACTTACTTGGTTGTACAGATACCTTGGTCAGGCGTCTCAAGCTGGGGTGGCTGGTTGTCTCACACTTCTGCAGTGTTGGATCTATGAGTACTTTTCGAGTTTCCGGCCATCTCACTTCGAGCCACCTGTCGTTGGACCTGAGAAGGCTTGGGCTTCACGATGGATTGGGCAGCCGGCACCTGGTTCTGTAGCTGATCTCAGTGTGAGGTTGGCGTTCTACCATCGAGCTCTTGACAGCTTGACCCCTTCTGATGTGTTTTGGACACCTTTCCATCAGAGGCCTCATCAGGCAGTGCGTCACTCTTTGTACACTTGAGTGATCCGGTTCGTTGATATAGGCGAGTTCTATGATCCAGCCCGTTGCCTCCGACAGTTTGGATACCGACAGATGGTACCGCCTGCCCCTTCGCGGCCTCAGCGAGCAGATCGACCAGTGGCACCTGGTGGATATGTCATTCGGATTCCTGAGAGTTTTGATGTTGCATGGGATGCTCTGCTATCCCACATGGTTCATATAGACATGTACTCTCAGCCCTGGACGACGTATCCGTATGAAACTACGATCGACTATCTTGATTGGTTCGTGGCGCATTCTCATTGTAGAGTCCTACAGGATGGTGGAGATGCAGATCGACTAGTTGACTCCACAGCGGTAAGATTTGACCCCTGGATCGTTACTCTATGATACCACTAAATTATGTTTGACTACTTATGTTTGGATCAGATGTTTGCATATTTCTACAGTCGTGATACCACTAAATTGATAATGACACTAAGGTCATTCCATGGTCAATATGAACTAATTTAGAGCAATTTTAAAAATACAACTAGAAAAACAACATACAAATAAAACATTCCAACATTATGCATTGCTCCTACCCCACCCTTCCCCTAGCTCTTCGGAGGTCTCTCTGCCTGGCTCGCTGCCAACCACCAAGACTCGCAAACAAATTTTTTCCAACCTCAAGAATAGCTCCTCACTCCACCACATTAGGATGTGTTAGCCCATGCCAAAGTGGATGCGGAGGGGGTATGGGAAACTGATCCTGGTTGAAGTACAATCGAATGTAGTGGTTGTTCACATAGTGCAGTGATAAGAACATGGTTGGTGGCAAAGTACCTGGGTCCGCATCAATAGGCAATACAGTATAGGCATCATCGTAGCGCTTGGGTAGTGGACGGTTTGCAATATTGACATCATACAACTTGTATGAGAAGACCATGACTATGATGTTGTAGATGGTGGCAAACACGAACAAGTCCTCGAACAAGTTCTCGTACTTCCAGAAATGTTGTTGGATTTCTTGGGCAATCGCCGATCTCATGAGCAGATAGTGACTATCATCCCCATAAATACAATGAGAAAATGCCCAAAAACCACAATGGTCGTCTGGACTAGGGTTGAAATCGCCTACCAGCAAAGGTCGAACAAACTCTGGAAAAAGCTCATCGATGTAAGGGTAAGAATATTGCCCTGTGGGGCTCTGGGATGAGTAATCTACGAAAATATACCAAACGGTCAAAATTACTTAGACAAAATTTACAAACATAAACCAATTACTACTCTGGAAAATTTAAAAACATAAACCGATTTCCGTCGGCTCGGCCTGGTTCCGGCACCGGAAATTTTCGGCCCGGCTAGTTTCGACCGCCGGAAAATTTCGACCCGCCGTCTGTTCGTTGGAAATCGTCGGGAAAATTGTTCGAAACTACAAAAAATCGACGCACCTGCTTAGTGGATACGTGTTCGCAGTTTACGTTCGGCTTTCCCGATGATTTTCCGGCGAGCGTCGATTTTTTCTGATTCAATACGTTTTTTGGAAGTTGGATATGTTGTAGATTGTGAAAATCCTTAACCAAAGATGTACATATATACTTTTTTTTTTTTTGTTGGCGGCAAATAGCAGGCCTCTAATAATAATAATTGTGTTCATACACGAAGTCTTAGAACATAAGGATTTGAGGTACACATGTAGTAAAAAAGACCAAGAAACCGAGAGTAGATCCGGTGAGTAACCTTGTGGTGCTATAATCTCATGGATAACTCAATAAGAATCCACCACATCAGCACCTCTTTCTCTCCTCAAAAAATCTTTAATTTTCTTTCTCTTAATCTTTAACGGACCATTTCTCACTCGTTTTAACTTAGAATTTAATTTTTTTTTTGCACAGTTAGATCATATTAATTGTGCTCTTCAAAATGATATCCACTTTGATATTTTTTGGATAAAAAAAATTTGTTAGTTATTACGATTCTATACCATATGGTATTAACTAGTATTAAATAACAGCATACCATATGGTATGAAAAATATCACCTCATACCAGGATGGTATAGTATGGTATGGAGTTGGTAACGAGTGGTATGAAATTTTTTCACCCAAAAAAATTTGAAATCCAGTAGATCATGATTAAATCGTTCTTTCTGTGCAAAATTTTTCGAAAACGACTAAAAATGAAGGAGATACCATATGTATGGAGTTGGTAACGAGAGGTATGAAATTTTTTCTCAAAAAATATTGAAAATGGATATCATTTTGTAGAGAACAACAAACTCGTTCCATCTGTGCAAAAAAAATTGAAATCCGAGTTAGAAGGAAGAAGATATGATCACATCAAGAAAACTATGAAAAATAAATTTTTTAATTCTTCACCCTTAGATCTACCGCCACTTAAAAGAAAGATTCAGATTTGATTACTCATAGTTATGCATCCTATCTTGAGCTCAAGAAACCTCCATACGTGGTTCCCATGCAGAATTTTCCTGTCAATGCAAAGGAAAAGAATCACTAGACCATCGTTCTTCTCAACAGATTCATGGTGCAGAAGACTACACAAAAACAACCAGTAAAGTTGGGGAATCCCATGGGTAGATTATTAGCTAGATATTATATTTACTTGTGTCTGTCAAATTTCCTTTTTTTTTTTTTTTACAAAAGATAGTTATATATTTACATCAGACCAAGAAAAGTTACACCCTGGAAAACAGCCAGGTCTGATAATCAAATACAGGACTCATAGCCGGGGACAAAGAAAGGGCCTTTCTAGCCACCGAGTGGGCTACCCTATTGTTACACCGACCTACAAATCGAACCATAAACTCCGCCTGGGGACCAAAATATTGCACCACTTCCGCAAGAACCGCCCCTGCCTGGGTATCTCTAGTATCGCCCTAATTGATTTTATCAATGATCACTTTGGCAAATTTCCTGTTCAAACGTGCAAAATTGATAATTAAAATAAGAAGAATGTCTGCAATTAGTGTGTTAGCTCTCGAGTTGTTCCGATGAAATAATATGATTAGATATACTTTGAATAATGATGATCTTATCCCAAGCATGAAGCATATAGCTTGTCCGCAGTAGCAATCTGATATGAAATAAGAACTTAATGAGTGATCATCATCAAAGCTAGCACAACATCAGAACTGAGCACTATATAAATTTTGGAGTGTAATTTTGGAATAGTGGAAAGGGTTGTAAAATGATATTATGGAGGTTGTACCGAAAAATTAATGGGTATGATATTTTGTACTGAAATTATGATTTAATCGTCGTCCGATTGTTTCATAGCTAGCGTTAAAACTGCCTATCAGACCATTGCCCTATTAGGATTGACCTCCACCCCAAGAATCAAACAAGAGAAACCCCTTTCCGCTTTGATAAGAGATGGAGAGAAAATGGGGAGTGCAACCGCATTGTTGAAGCTATCTGGGCTCAAGGGGGCACTGTTAATGTAATCCTAAAGAAATGTCAGGAAGCTATCCAAAGATGGGCGAGAGTTGAGAGAGCTAACTCTATCAAGAGAGAAAAAGAAATCAGATTGAGACTTCAGGATCTCCAAGGTCCAAGGAGAAATCCGAATGACATTGAGGAAGAGAAGACCCTGCCCCAGGAGTTATATTTGATGTGGAAATCGGAAGAAGAGTTCTGGGCACAGCGATCTAGAAATGAGTGGTTACAAGAAGGAGACCAAAACACAAGCTTTTTCCATACTAGCACGATCAAAAGAAGAGTTAGGAATCGCATTCTCAGACTAAAGGATGAAGTAGGGGAATGGATTAACAATGACAGTTTGCTTGAGGATCACGTCAATGGTTTTTACCATAACATTTTCACCTCTAAAGGGGGAACTTTCAACCATGACTTGTTGGCTGGTTTCCCCTCTCTTGTTTCACAGGATGTTAATAGTTCCCTGAATGCCACAATCACGAAAGAGGAAATGCGCAAAGCGGTCTTCCAACTGGGAGCAAACAAATCCCCAGGTCCAGATGGATTCCCAGGCCACTTTTTCATGAAGCGGCTGGGGACACTCTTTTTGAGGAGATTACCAACTTCTTCAGCAACAATGCTATGCCAAGCAACTGGAACGACACTTACATCGCGCTTATTCCCAAAGTGGAAGCCCCTGATAAAATTGGTCAGTTTAGGCCTATTAGCTGCTGCAATTTCAGGTATAAGGTGATTACAAAAATTATGGCAAACAGACTACAGCCCTGTCTCCCCAATCTGGTCAATGAACTACAGTCAGCATTCACTGGAGGGCGACAGATACAAGACAACATTGTCATTGTACATGAAGTACTGAATCACTTCAAGAAAACGAACAATAGACAACGACAGAACATGATGATGAAACTTGACATGAGAAAAGCTTATGATCTCGTTGAATGGGACTTCCTGATTCATCTCCTAAAGGCATATGGATTTAGTGATGTTTGGTGTGGCTGGGTACATTCCTGTATTTCTTCGGTCAAGTTCAGACTACTTTTCAACGGGAAGCCCTCGGAGGAATTCACTCCTTCTAGGGGAATCAGACAAGGAGACCCTCTATCTCCCCTTCTCTTCATCCTTATGTCCAACGCCCTCTCCTTCCTAGTTGAGAAGGCAGTTCAGAGAGGAGTAATTAAAGGACTGAAGATCAATAGAACTTGCCCCATCCTTACTCACTCCCTTTTTGCTGATGACACGGTTATCTTCGGTGAAGCATCGATTGGGGAAGCAGGGAAAATTCTTAACATACTGAATGATTATGGCTCTTTGACAGGGCAAGAAGTTAACAGGGACAAATCATCCATCTTCTTTAGCCATAATGTAACGGAAGAGGATAGGGGTTTGATTATCCAGACCAGTGGATTTGCAACAGCCAACAATCACTCAAGCTACCTCGAAGTTCCTACTGAATGGGAAAGATCAAAAAAAGAAACTTTCCAGTTTCTCCTTCAAAGGATGGAAGCCAAAGGGGAGGCATGGAAAAGCCTTCTGTTATCCCCCGGTGGAAAGGAAACTTTGTTGAAGGCGGTTTTCCAGGCTTTGC